CATCCACCTGTTTCACTTCCAATCCAATCCATTTAAACTGCAGCATAGCTGCATATTAAAAACACAAATTTTATATGTAACTCCTCTGTTTAAAACTTTTCGATGGCTTTCTACAATTCTTAGAAAAATGTCTGCAATCCTTAACATGACTTCCAAGGCCCTGTATGATCTAACCCTTGCTTATCTTTCTAGCCTCATTTGCGCTACACTCCCCTTTCTATGTTCTAGCTGCACGGATATTTTTTAGTTTTTCAAATGTACTGTTCTCACTTGCCTCACAGCCTTTACATTGTCGTTCCTTCTACCTAGAATAGGCTTCTCCTTCACCTATCTTGATTTCTCCTGACATTTCATTTTCTCAAAAAGGCCTTTTCCAACCCAGCTATCCTTTTTTGGTCACGTCATCACACTTCTGAAGCACTCAGAATTACCCCTCTTGCAGCATTCATCATCACTCACAATCACTTGTTTAATGTTTGCCTTCCTCTTTTGAAGAGTTTAAAGTCGCAAAGGCAGGGCCTTTGCTTGACTGCCTCACCTCCTTATCAATGCCAGATACAATGTCTAGCTCACAGTAGAAGAGAAATAAACATTAGATGAATGAATAAAAGACTATGATTCTTACAATATTTAATTCTAATGTGAGGAATAATTAAAGACATTGCTCTACTGAAAGAATTTATAAGTTGATTGAATTTCAAGAAATCCATTTAAAGTTAATGTTGAAGATCAACTTAGGAAGAATTATTCTTGAGGAACAGCGTCTTATATCCTACATAAGGAGTAACTGTCTGTAATCAGTATTATGTTTCAGTTTATAACACTATATGAGAGGGTTGACTGAAAAAAGTAAATAAAAATTGGAATGCAATCTGTTAGGTATTTTTAGGTTAAATATTTGTAGGAAAGGGGTAGTTTCACATGTAGTACCTCCTTAATCCTGCAAAGATTGTCAAATGCTTATACTGTTGGAGAAATTTAATTGATGTAGAATGTATAATATAATAGTGTATACGCTGAAGGAGAGAAAAAGCGAGAGAAGAAAGGTAGCGTTTGAAGTCTGGAGTGGTACTTTGGAGTTACCCTCATTACTAAGGTGGTACTAGTGACCTAAAACAAAACACAGCATCAAAGTTGTGAGAGAAACACGGAGCAAACAGCAAGCACAGTCGCCTGGGATCTAGATGAACAGAAGCACTACAACTAGATAGAGAAATAAGAAATCAACCTGCAACAGTTAGAAGTACGAGGAGGTGAAGACACGAAGCTGCCTGGTCACGAGCAGCTGAGTGGAACAGAGACTACAAGAGCGGCAGCCCGCAGCTTCGGACCCCTCTTAAAGGGATCGTGTCTGCAACCAGACTTTCGTGGTGATGGACTTGCTCACTCTGAGCACTAGCGCTGGGTCGGCTGCTCTGGGGGTACCAGGGACTTATAGGGGGGACACTGAATTGTTGGAGTGAGGGCTGGAGGCGAGGCTTTCTCCTGGGCAGAAGTGCCAGCAGTATCCACTGTTATTCTGTTGAGTCCTCCTCCCTCCCAGGGTGAGGACACAGCACCACCATAGCTAAGTTGTCATCAAACTGGATAACAGAAGTCATTTTGCCCAGAGGATTCCCTGAAACTCCATCTCCTCCAATTCACAGCCCAAATTCTCCCAATTCATGCCACATCCAGTTGTATCCTCTCTGAGTCCGGTGCTCCTTACCGAGCCAACCCCAAGCTCCACACTGGTAACAGCTGGTCTCGGTTTCTGGTGTGGTCTCTTGAGGCAACTATAAGCACAGCATCTGTGGATTGCTTGCTGGATCTTAACAGGTGGCCCCAGAGGGGCACAGGCTGGGGCTAAACTTGAACTGAAGCTGAACCCTTCTCAGGACCGTGCCACTGGACACCTACTACACAAAGCCATGCTAATAAGACTGGGAGACTTAGGAGCTTTGCTTAGTACATAGAAACAGACACAGAAAGGCAGCCAAAATAGGAAGACAAAGAAGCAGAAAACAGAAAAGAGATCCAGGAATAATGGAGTCAAGTAACCTAACAGATGCAGAGTTCAAAACACTGGTTATAAAGATGCTCAATGAACTTATGGGAAGTGTAGATAAACTCAATGGGAACATTAACAGAGAGATAAAAAAACATAAAAACGGAAATGGAAATTCTAAAAGGGAACCAATCAGAAATGAAGAACATTATCTGAGATGAAGAGTATATTAGAGGGAACCAACAGAGTGGATAAAGAGGAGGATTGAACTGCTGTTATAGAGGATGAAGAAGCCAAGGACACCCAATCAGAACGGCAAGAATATGATCATAATTTAAGGAGCCTTCGGGACAAAATTAAGTGTAAAAACATCCAGATCACAGAGGTATCTGAAGGAGAACAAGAAGTTGAAGAGTTATTTGAAGAAATAATGATGAAAAATTTCCCTAACTTAGTGAAGGAAATAGACATTGTCAGGGTCAGGGGTATTGCTGACCCAGAAAGGAAAGTTCGATGGTGTGAGGCCCAGCTGGATGAATGCACAAGAGGCAGACATGAAGATGAAACGGCAGGCACCAACTTTATCGTGCAGAGTACACTTCTGTTGGGAAGTGCAGTTCTACTGGGGAGTGCAGTCTATCGCACGGGGCTTGCAGTCTTGCTCCCCTTTCCTGTACTCCCTTTCTTCTCTCCCCTTTGCTCTTTCCTTCTCTGCTCTCCAGGGGACTGCAAGGCTCCTCACATAGCAGAGTAAAAAAAGTGGCGTTCAGCCACACATGTGTGATACAAAAAGCTGAAGTATGTTCACATATTTTCTAAGTCTGGGGTCCTATTTCTAGCTGCGGGCCTGGATCACAGCCAGACCTTGCACCAGTCAGACCTTGGGCCAGCCAGGCCTTGGGCCAGCTTTGGATCAGCCAGGTCTTGGATAACAGCCAGACTTCGGATCACAGCCAGATCTTGGGCCGGTAAGGCCTGGTGCCCACAGACATAAAACCCCAAGAAGCTGAGAGTCCCCAAAAACATGAACCCAAAGAGGCCCACACCAAGAAACATTATAATTAAATTAAAATGCCAAAGTTTAAATACAAAGAGAGAATCTTAAAAGCAGCAAGAGAAAAGCAGTTAGTCACCTACAAGAGGGCACCCATAAGACTGGCAGCTGATTTCTCAAAGAAACTATGTAGAACACAAGGTCTTAGCACAAAATATTCAAAGTGATGAAAACTCAGGATCTATAATTAAGAATTCTTTATCCAGCAAAGCTATCATTTAGAGCTGAAGGACAGATAAAGAGCTTCCTTGACAAAAATAAGCTAAGGGAATTTATTAACACCAAGCCAGTATTACAGGAAATGTTGGGGGGACTTTAAGAAGAAATATCATGTATCAAAAATATGAATAAGGAATGGTAATAACTACATTCCTATCAACAATACCTCAAATGGAAAAGAATTAAGTGCTCCAACCAAAAGATAGGGTGACTGAATGGATAAGAAAACAAGACCCCTACGCATGTTGCCTACAAGAGACTCATTTCAGATTAAAAGACACACGGACTAAAAAGAAGGGGATGAAAAAAGATATTGCCTTGATGCATCTAGAGAGTTTTGTGCTGAATAAGTCCGATAAAGACAAATATCACATGATTTCACATACATGTAGAATCTAAATAACAAAATAAACAACAAAAATGGAAACAAACTCAAAGATACAGAGACTATTTTGAGAGCTACTAAATGGGAGGGAGGTTGGTGGGGACGGTGAAAAAGGGCAAAGGGATTAAGAAGTACAAATGGATAGTTACAAAATAGACATGGAGACATAAAGTGTAGCATAAGGAAAACATTTAATATAATAAATATTTAAGGGGACGACGGATACTAGATTTAGTGGGGTGATCACTTTGTGAGTTATATAGATCTCTAATTACTATGCTGTACAACTGAAACTAATATTGTATGCCAATTATAATTGAGAAATTTATTGAATTATATAATGTAAATACAAGCAATTATCTATTTCCATAAAGCCAGAAAAAAATTGTGTATGCAACTTTAAATAAACAATACAAGCCTCTTCACCTAGTAGTTATTAGAGACCATGTAATTTCATAAAAGTATTAAATATGAATCAGTTTTCATTTTAACTGCAACCAATCACAAAGTGCCATATCTTAATTATAGACCATTCTCACCTAAAATTGTAAACAAAATCATTATTCTTCTCTTTTGTATTATCATGGAAAGTAGCTGCAAAATAAATCAAATCATTATCTATTCTGCTTTTGAGTTACTTTAGAGAACAGCTGTGGCAACAGCATAGCTAAGTATTTTGAGGTTTTAGAATGAGCGCTAGCTAATGACTACAAAGTTGTTCAAGGTCTGCATTCTACCAGTACCTCCACTCAGATACATGGGCTGTAGGGTATCACAAAAGGTAACTGTCGTGGTTTTTATCCTGTCCTTTCATCAAGGGTAGGCTGTTAAGTTCAATAGAAATTAAAGGCCCGCTCTAAACCCTACAAAGCCTATTGAATTCCGATAGACACCAAACTCTATCACAAACCAAAGGCCACCAACCGTAATAGAGAATTACATCGTCCCTCATTAAGCAGGCTTGTACTAGGAGCGGGGACAATTTACTCCACATTTAACGTCTCAAAGAGGCAGAAGACAGACTCTCCCCGTAGTGAGCACCACATCCTCCTCTTTCCGTTACAGATTGTGAAGTGGCTCTCACTACAGCCTCGGTCGCGGCCCGGAAACCAGTTACATTTCCCACAATAGGAAGAACAAGCCTGAAAAGACTACAATTCCCGTCATGCCTCACAGAGGCACCGCCGACGCGCTGTTGTGGTTAATCATCCTTCCCAGTGCCTCCTTCCACTTCCGGGACTGTCGGGCCTAAGGCCAGCGGGCGTGCGCACGTACCGACTTGCCAACGAGACAAGGCACTAGGGCACGGCGCCGACGGCGACGTGTGGCGTCACGTGACGCGGGGCGCTCCTCGCCCTCGCGCGCGTCTCAGGGGGCCGCTGACGGTTTTGCGCGCCTGTGCGGAGCCGGAGGCGAAGGGACCGCCCAGCTGGGACTGCGGGGGCCGCGGGGCTTGGCCAAGGGGCGGGCGGGGCCAGCTCCGGGACCGCGGCGACAGCACACGGGGCGAGCCTCTTGAGCTGAGTGGAGCGATGCTGTGGTTCCAGGGCGCCATTCCGGCCGCCATCGCGTCGGCCAAGAGGAGCGGCGCGGTCTTCGTGGTATTCGTGGCAGGTGAAAGGAGTGGGGGCCCGAGATATGGCGGGGACACCCCCTCCGGCCTACCTCCAACCTCAGGAGGCCCCAGCCGTTCCTTCGTGTACCGAAAGGCCGGGACTGCCCGTCCCTAGCTTTTCGGTGCTTCCCCCATCCGTTGAAAGCACAGCGGGCCTGATCCCCATCTCCCACTTCTCCCGGTACCCGGGAAGAGGCACTGTCTCAGCCTCGCCCCCAAAGCGCGCTGAGCTCTGCCGACACCTCTCTGCGCTAGACAAACGGACGCGTCGAGCAGGCCCTCGCTGCCCAGCCCGGGTGCTGCTCGCCGAACCTCTGACCCGCGGCGCCAAAGGACGGACCCCCACGACAGCTCCCTCTTGGGAGCCCTCATAGAACCCACTTCGGGATACTTTAACGCCCGCGTGTAGTTCTAGTGTTTAGATGGGGATAGGAACAGGCCATTATTCAGGCAGTTGGGTTCGTAATTAGTTGTGGACTATCAGGAAGAAAGCTGTGTCATTGGTAAGCAACAAAGAGAAATCATCTGATGTTCACGGTTATTGGCGTTCATATGTTCTTGAAACGCAAACTCTTGAGCTTTATATCGGTTTGATTCTTTTTAATGATGGGGTGGGGGAGCCTAATGTGGAATAATTGCTTTGTAACAAGTTGATTCTTTTTCACCGTTTAGAAGTAGTAGCCGTTCAGTTTTTGGTTCATTTTGTTGTCTTCCTAATCTAATCAACAGTTTTCAGAATGTGTATGAACTCATTTACCCTGGGTTGCTGTGGGTTAATTTGTTCCGTATTTTATTACTCTCTTGTTTTATTAACTAAAAATCTTCTAGATTTACAGTAAACCTGTGCTTCTGCGGATTTGCTGATTCTCGTTACGTGAACCGAATCGGTGTTTGTGATAACTTTAATTTGAGGCGTATTATTTCAACTATTTGAGTTTAATAACGTTATACTTACTTTTAACTCATGACTCTTGGGAGACTACATAAAGCTATATAACTTTATGTACGGTAGTATGAATAAATTGATGAATTTCATTTAACATTAAATTTGAAACTTATAATTGTTTTAAGTTATGCTAAATTTTTAGCCATATGCTGTTAATTTAGAAGAGTTTTGTTAGTTCATACTCTCTTATGCTGTTTTACAGTTTATATTTCACATAAATAACTGCTGTAATCCTGTAAGGAAAAAAGTGAATTAAAAAGGAAAGGGAGTCTGCGGCCATGCCACCCTGAACAAGCCATATCTTGTCTGATCTGGAAGCTAAGCAGGGTCGGACCTGGTTAGTACTTGGATGGGAGACCACCTAGGAAGACCAGGTGCTGTAGGCGTAAAATAAATAAATAAATAAATAAGGGATTGTAAGCTGACAAGGTCCTTGCAATCTGAGGTCAACCGAAGGTTGCCTCGCCTAAATAATTTTTAAAAAAAGGGAAATTAAATGATAAGTACTATGCTTATTAAGAGTATAATAATAGTTTTATGACATTTTATGTTTTATATTTGTGTTATATTTCAGTTGGTTTTTGTGGTAGGTAGAACAGGTTTTATTACCCCATTTTATAGACAAGGAAGCTTCTGTCCACAGTGGTTAAGCGACATGCACCAGGTTTGCAAAAAGGATTTTCATCTTGCTTGACAGGCTTTTTTTAAGCAGCTTCAAAAAGTGTCTTTTTTGTTTCTTAAGAAAAAAAATCGTACAATTGTAGACTTTATGTAGTTATTGAAATTGTATAGAAATCAGGAAATCTAGGATTGTGATAGCTATGTTTTTAAACAAAAAACACAACTGATCATGTCCAAATGTTCCTAGAAGGCACTGTTGGGCTAACCAGTTAATTTGAAAGAAGAAATGGTAGATTTAATTAACAAACATTTAGAAATCCATTTGGAAACAGTGCTAATTATTACAATAGTAAAATAAAGTTATAGATCCTTGGGGCATTGTATGTATGCATTCCTCAATTAACTTTTTACTGGTGAGCACATGTTATATGCTTTTAGAATATCAGTGACTGTTGAATGTTTGCAGGAAGACCATTAGCAATCTGTCAGATAAGTAAACTGTCCCTTGACCAGTTCAAAATACTGTTGGCTTTTCTAGAGTTTTAGGAAGTTAATTTCCAAGACTAGATAGGATTAGTGTCACTCCAGGAATTTGAAGTCAGTGGAGTCATGAAACTGCAGCACTTACAGGTTGCCTAGATCTTTGTTCAGAAGTCTGAAGAATACATGATAGAACTCATGATTTTCTTAGGTCTGAGACCTCAACAATAATATACTAACAAAGTAGAAAATTTAAAAGATATCTGTATAGCTGGTCATAATTGTATACTTTAGTTCCTATAACAACAACTCAAATGGGAAACATTTTAGGCAAGTTGTTCATATTTAGTAAAATTTTCATGGATGAGTTAAAGAATATAGTAGGATTGATGTTAGGAAACTGGAGAGATTACTACTAGTTCAGCCAACAAATTAACAAGGATTTTCAAAGTATTATAGCTATGTAAATTGAAAGAAATAAAACTGAAAAGATTTTGATTTTGTTTGGGGGATAGAATAATCTGACAAGAATCCTGAAGGAAAGATGTCAGTTCACTGACTAGTGTTACTAGGGGGCTAAAATTTCCTCGACAGACTATTTACGGTCTTTTTTGTTTAAAATAGACAATAAAAGCCTTTAAGTTTTGACTGGTAGAAGTTTTCTAGGTTGGAGTTATTGGCTCTACTTGGGTCTGCAACTCTTCTGATTTTGTACTGTTCTCTTTAAGTACCTTCACTTTGACTACTGCAGATACCACTAAAATCTCCTAAAATCTTAGGCCCACCTACTCCATGGCATAGTTCATAATTTGATTAAAACTAAGAAACTAAAGGTACTGAAGTTGGCTATTAATAATTCTACTGGTAATGATAAGATAGCTCTTGTTGAGTTAAGTAATTCCATTTAACCTTACATCTCTTGGTCAACAGCTTCTGCTGACACCAGGCTGAATCATGGACAGACATTATTAGTGGGGATGTTAGATCTGGGACCCTAACCATATGGTGGTACAACATAGGTGAGGGAGTGCAAAGCACCAACCTCAGGAGTAGCAGATCCGTACTTCCAGCTACCTACATTCTTACTTGGATGCCTCCCAGGATTCTCAAGCCTAAAAGTATATTTACTGCCTGAATCTGTTTTTTCTCTCCCAGTGTTTTACATCTAAGTAAATGGCACCGCCTTACATCCAATTGAATAAACCCTAAGTGTGGATATCATTTTTGACTTTATAACTCTTCAGTTCATTTTGTCTTCTCCCTATTGTTCATGATTTTCCCAATCACACAGGCTTTTCCCCCTATTGTTCGATTTGCCCAATCACACAGGCTTTTCCCTACTCCTATATTCCTTCTGCTTAGTGAATTCTTGTGGCCCTTGGCGTGGCTCAAACCTTTTCATCCTTTTGGTCTTAACCTTAAGTATCACCACAGAGCAGACTTCCCAGAGCAATCTAAAGAGGTCTCATTATTTTTTCTCACTGTTCTGTTGTTTTTCTACAGCATTTATTACTATATAGTTATTTATGAAACAAGCATTTTTTTTGTACCTTTAGATTTTAAGCTCCATTGAGGGCAGACAATGATTTATTTAATTTATATTTAGTTTATAGCCCAATGCCTAGCACAAAGTAAATGTAGAATAAAGTAGTGAATGTATGAAAGAAGGAATAAATAAAAAGGATCTCTCGTGTCTCACAGTCTTCTCTAAGAAGTGTTTGTAGTAAGAGAGTTCCTTTACAGCTATTTTCTAGATTGATGATCTTGTCATTGACTTGGAATTTTACATTTTTCTGCATCCCGTGATGTCTCAAGAGGTGCTCAAAATGATCTCACTGCAAGTGATACTTTTCTATGTTTGCTTCTTCAACATCTATCAGTCTGCTGGTGGATTTTTATTTTTATTTTTTTGGTCTTGGTCTTCATTTGCATTCTAGTCGCTGTTTACTTTTCCGTGGCCAAATTTCTCAAGTTCCTAATCCTGGTATTCCTGGATCTTATCTCACACAGAATGCACTCACATGTGCAATATTAGTCAAGTATTGTAAGAATTGCCAAAATACTTAATTATACTAAAAATTTGGCTGTTCATTCCATAAAATAGTTATTGAGAGCCTGCTACATGCCACCCGCTTACTTATCATATGCCAGGTTCTGTTACAGTTATTTGAGTTATATCAATAAATAAAAAGAACAGTCCTTGTCCTCCTAGAGCCTGCATTCTAGCAGAGGGAGACAGACAACAGTAAACATAATAAGTAAAAAATATTGTCTATTAGAAGGTGATAAATATTACATTAAAAAAAAGGCAGGAAAGAAGGGACTTTTGCGAATAATTGAAAGTGTAATTTAAAAATGGTGATTAGGGAAGGCTTTATTGAGAAGATAGCATTTGAACAAGGACTTAAGGTAGTTGAGCGTTAACCATGTAGATATCTAAGGGAAGAGTATTCCAGGCAGGGTAAACAACTAGTACAAAGACCTTAAAGTGAGTGTATCTTTTCATATTTGCAGAATAGAAGGGAAAGGAATACCAAGAAAGTAAAAGGAAATGAGGTCTGAGAGGTAGCTGGGCTTTGGAAGAACTTTGGCTTTTAATTTGAGAGAAAATAGGGAACCATTGTAGGATTTTGAGTAGAGGGTTGATGTGACCTGACTTTTTTAAGTAAAGTTTCTGTGTTAAGAATAGATTAAGCAGGGAGACCACTTAGGAGGCTGTTATAATTACCAGGTGAGATGTGGCAGCATGAATCAGGGTGGTAGCAGTGAAAGTGGTAAGAAGTAGTTACATTCTGGATATACAGTTGACCCTTGAACAGCAGCATAGTTTGAATTGCATGGGTCCATATGTGGATTTTTTTTCCAAAAAATATGTAGTCAAAAGTTATATGTGGATTTTCTACTCTGTGTGTGTGTGTGTGTGTGTGTGTGTGTGTCTGTCTGTCTGTCTGTGCGCGCACGTGTGTTTGCATGCTGGGGCACACCATCCCCTGTGTTCTTCAAGGGTCAACTGTATTTTGGAGATAGAGTCATCTGTAGTCAAGGATAACTAAAGTTTTTGGCCTGAGAACTGAAAGGATGGAGTTATGAACCAATAACAGATTGAGGAGGCTGAGGCTGGATAAAATTGGGGAAGAGGGGGGTGTCCATAGGAAGAAAGCAGTTTACAAAAGACTAGGTATAGAATGGTCTCATTTTTGTAAAATGAAATATGTGGCCTGAAAACTTATTTGTACATCGGCAAAGGTCACTCACCTTTGAGGAATTGCTTAGCTCTGCTAACTTCAGAAATATTTTTCAGTGACACTCAGGTAAGTTTCCCGCTGCCCACCAATAAGTGGTTATGCCAAAATCTAGACATTACAGTTCTAGAATGGAAACAATCTCTTGATAGTTATAACTTATAAAACATTTAGTCATTGAGGTATAACATACATTATATGAAGTCAAATATATTAAGCTTGATGAATTTTTATACCTGAATATACCTGTTTAACCGTCGTCCAATAAGATGTAAACATTTCCAGCAGCCTAGAAGACTCCTTCATGCTCTTTCCGATCAGTAGCACCTCCACCAAGGTAGCCACTATTCTGAATTCTATCACCATAGATTTTTTCAGGTCAGAATAACTTTTATGATTAGCATGCTCGTGATAAAAAGGAAGTCCAAGACTGCAAACAGAATATACCTGCCTCTATTTACCTTGGAGGAATTCTGGAGAAAAAATGCTATGCCGTAGAGGACATTGAACTCAACAGAAAGGTGCTACATAAAATCGTGTACAAAAGCCAAAATAGTCACTGTACATTTCTACCCACGATTTACAATTACTGCGAATACTATCTGTATAATCTGGATGTCTTTTAGAAAATGCTGTGTATAATCTGAATGGCCGTATTTTGTTTTTTATTTTTATGTTAACTGCATATAGTCATACTTTATTTTTAGGAAAAAATTCAGTTTTCAAATTTGGTACAAAATAGTATTTGTGGAATTACATTTTATTTGAAGTTCCAGATTTCCAGGGAAAAGAATCAGTACATACTGGCCTTACGTTATAAGAATCCTCAAAATGTTTTATAGGTGATGATGAGCAGTCTACACAGATGGCTGCAAGTTGGGAAGATGAGAAAGTGACAGAAGCATCTTCAAACAGTTTTGTTGCTATTAAAATCGATACCAAAAGGTTTGCTTATGTTTTAATCTTTTATTTTTAAAAAATATTATAACCATAGTGTCTGGTTGTGGTTTATGGTGATGCTCTTAGATGATAACAGTATTGATTTTTGTCCAAGGCATATTGGGGACTTAAATTCGGATTGCTATTTTCCAAATTCATCTTTATATCTTGCTGAAAAACTTAAGTTCTCCTAGTTTACTAGTAGGAATACAAAAGAACTGTGGTCCCCAGTTTCTGAGAACTAGGAAGTAATTGTAAATCATACATTGAATATCTCTGAAAGATTGACCACTTTTTTGGATACCATTTTTAGGAATGAAGTCATTTGATTCAGTAGAAATAAGGACATTTATAGGTCCCTCATAGTACCTGAAAGCCACAAGTTTGTTTTGTTAATCCATCTCTCCTCCTTCCCTTTAAAATGTTACAAAAGTAACAGGGAGTGTAATGAACCCCTATGAACTTGTCAACTTACTTGGAAAATTATCATCTCATGGTAGTCTTATTTCATCTATAACTCCACCCATTTCCACTCATCCATATAATTTTGAAACAAATCTTAGTCATCGTCTATAAATATTTTAGTATGTCTCTGAAAGATAAGGATTCTTAATTTTTCGACATAACCGTAATACTTAAAAAACAAAATAATTTCTTAATATTAAATACCTACCAGTGTTCAAATTTTTAATTGTCTCATCAGAGTCATAGTTTTTAAATTTAACTTATTACAGTTTGGATCAGGATCCATGAAGGGCCACACATTGTCATGTGTTGATCCGTCTTAAGTCTTTCAGTCTATAGGCTTGCCCTCTATGTCCCTGTGTCTTTTTCTTTGCAATTTATTTTTTGAAGAAACCAAGTTATTCTATAGTTTCCTAAAGTATGTATTTTATTGATCCCAGTCTTGTTAGTGTTTTTTAGTTTGTTCTTTTATTTCCTGTAAATTGACAGATTCAGCTTTGATTTCTCCCCCTCCTCCCAGACTGTGTCTTCAGTTAGAAGGCACATAATGCCTGGTTATCTTTCTTTATGATGTTAGCAGCAGCCATCAGTGATCAATGCCTAGAAACATACTTGTAAGTTTATAAACTTTATTTTAAAATGTTTAATATTAACCAAAACTTCATAAAGCAAATTGTACAGTCTGCTTCACAATAGTTACTGAACTGTTGAGTTATAATTTTTTTTAAAAAGACCTCATCATTTTAATGTATATTGTATCATATTATCCATTACCTTGCAGGAGGAATGTTGGGTTTTATTGGGAATGTGGAAGAAATGACACTTTCAGAATTCTGGAGATTGTATATAGACTTATTTTGCAACATTTTTAAAAACATTTCTATTAGCGGATACAAGGATACCTGTGTACAGTGTTGGTTGATGTTTGTTTCACTGTGGTCTGCCTGCTAGTAGAATCTAGTGTGTCTTTTAAAGTATGAAAAGTAAAATTTATTATATAATAAAAAAATTACATAATTAGGAACATTTTAGTGTCTATTTTGGAAATAGCTTGCTTTGAAAATAAATTGGTAGGAAGCGCATCAGAAGTTTACAGTGGTTGTTTCTGAGTAGATTTCTTGGTAATTTTTTTATACTTTACTATTTTCAGATTTTTTTTTGGTAATCATGTTTTATATTAAAAAAATAACAAAATTTTAGTTCTTGGAAGCATTAATTCTTAGATTTACTCATCTGCGTTGAGCTGTATAGTTAATTAAACTATACAGATCCTGTAGTGTGTGTATAATAATCTCTTATTATAGTGTAAAGTCTCTCATCTCTGTTCTTAGCTAACCAGTTCCCTTCTCTAGAGGCAACTAAATCAAGAAAATACATTTATATTTGTTTTTCTCCTTTTTTTTTTTTTTTTTTTACAAAAATGGTAGCATGTTGACATATTTTTGTACTGTTTTTCTTCTTTATGATTGCATAATTAGTTTTTAGTGCTGGATATTTAGGTTATTTTGAATCCTTTGTTATTACAAGGTATATTATTGCTTGCATAAGTAGTCGTCAGCTTTAATATCTTCTTGTAACAAGTTAAGATTAAATTCAGGTATACTTGCTGCTAAGGAAGCAGCATGGCAGATATTGACTTGAGTATTAACCACAAAATCCAGCTACCAGTTAGTGGGGTGCAAGAGAAAGTTCTTTAATATGAAAATTATAAAACCAAAAAAGATCTGTGAAATAATTACATGGTTTTTTTTTTTTTTTTTTCAGCTGACGGGTAGTTCATAAAAATACTTGTAGTTGGTACAGTAAATTCTTATAAAAGCAACTCACTATTTGGGAAATATTTGTATTCATCTAGTGACTTTCTGTTTGATTTTGTTTTACAGTGAAGCCTGCGTACAATTTTCACAAATCTGTATCCTTTCAGTGGAGAATCGGTTTTATACATATTTTGCTTTAAGATTTACCTTTCTCTTGGTTAATTCATGACATTTACAAATCACTCATTTTTATTTAGAACTCATGCATTCTTGTTTAAGGGAACTTTATATTATTAAGTGCCCTGTGAAACAATACATTGTAGCAAATGGAATCATAGAGAGTTTTTTTAATTGTGAACATCTAGAAAGCAGTATAGAGCAGTTTGGTTGGAATGTTAGAAGTAGCTGGCAAGAGGCAAGATAAATATAAAAGTTATGATAGAGGGGAATGTAGTGGATGTTCACTCAGCTATGCAGTATAGATCATGTCAGTTTACATGTGCACTACAGGCATAATGATGGAGTAGTTGCAATTATTTTGTAAACATTAGCTGATTATATTGTGAAATTAACAGATGATTTGCTTTATTAGTTGTGTTTCATAAAATTATTCCCTTGTTTCCCATTAATTGTTAGACTTAATTAAACTGTACAGATCCTGTAGTGTGTGTTCCATCCAGTTTCTTTATTGGAGACAGTGGAATTCCCTTGGAAGTAATAGCAGGAAGTGTTTCTGCAGATGAACTTGTGACCCGAATTCACAAAGTCCGGCAGGTGAGAAGGAACAGAATTGTTCTTTGTATAAACGTGAAAATGATATGTCAGGAACTTGACATTGGAATATTTTTGGTGCTGCTCTGCATGTTCGAGAACTTGCCATGCCATTAAACTTGAAAAGTAGTAAATAACCTTTTCCTAGACTGGTTTTGAAAATAACAGTATGAAGTTAGAAGTGCCTGTACCTAATACTTGAATGACTCCTTATTTTCCCTTCTCTTTTCCTGCCTTACCCAACCACATAATGCACATCACTCTCTGTGTAGCAGGAGAGTTACTGTCACATTAAGGTACCTAATGGTATATTGCTTGACATGGGTTAAAGACGTTACTCAGTTTCGCATTTATATCCACTTTGGGCACACAGCTAATATAGCTTATAACTTTTTCCCTTGAATTGTAATTTGAAGGAAAAGCAATGTACTTTAAAAATCTTTTTATGTTTTTGTCACCTTGCAGTAGAATTTCATAATATGATTTTGTCATGTTTAGGATTATATAGTTCAGATTTACTTAGAAAGTATAGAGTACCTTTTGATTTATATTTCGGTCTTATCTGCCATGGTAAATTTAGATTCTCATCCGTTAATTAAATTTTAATGTGTTTTCTCCCTAGATGCACTCATTAAAAGGTGAAACATCAGTGGCAAATGGCAGTCAGTCAGAAAGTTCAGCTTCTTCTCCATCCACTTCATTTGAACCCGACAACATTTCTGAACACTCTCAGTCTAGAAATGTAGAGCTTTGTGAGACATTACCCACTTCTTCTGATACACAGTCAGATTCTGCAACAGGTAATTTTTAGTATATTCTTTTGGGTACAGGGGAAGTATGCCTTTACTTTATTTTAAAGGCCATAGCTTACTATCCCCTCATCATTTAACTTAAAATTTAAGGATGGTCTTAAATATGCACGTGTGTCATTTAGTGGCAGAAGAGGATAAAATCAGTGAATATGTCCTTTGAACTCAAATAGGCAACAGTCCAGACTAGTTGATTTGTAATTTCTGTAACTGTGCTGTGGTTCAGGGACTGTCATTATGACAGCAGTTTTATAAATCTCGTCCCAGCCAGAGGATTTCGAAAGGTCCAAATGAACTAATGTATCTGGAATTGTTTTTTTAACCTATAAAATACTATGCATATTTAAGAATTTTAAAATTAGAATTAAAAGGCAATTGTAAAATAGAGCTTGTAGAAATAGAGGTGTGACTGAAGGGGGGATGTGATAGAAAAGGCAAAAGAAATTTTATATTGTGTATTAGGAATCGTGGTCAGAGTTTGATGTAATACAGCTTTGTATTAAGTAACATTAGGTTAGATAAATCAAGAAGTTAGAACATTCACATCCTAAAAGATGATTCTACTCCATCATCCTGGATAGATAATCATCAAGCCTCTATTTGAATACATTTAATGACAGGAAGAGGCATTACCATGTCTAAGAAGCCTATTCTGTTTTTGAAGCCCTAGTTTTTAGAAAAATTCTTCCGAATATTTAGCTGAAATTTGATGACCTATAATTTTCCATTGCTTTAGTGCTGCTTATGCATAACAAGTTTTGAATATTTGAAGAGCAGCTTTCAGATCCTTTCTCAGTAGTCTCATTTTAAGGTTTTATATGCATAGGTCACAAAAATTCTTGATGCATACAGGATTGGGGGACTCTTATGAATGTAGTCCATTTAGGTGTGTAGCAGAATAGTTATCTTTTACATTTACCTATTATTTTCAAAATTTTTCACTCCCTTTTGATTTTGAATACAAATGTTCCTTGACTTACTATGGGATTATGTCTCGACAAAGTTGAAAATGTCTAAGTTGGAAATGCATTTAATACCCTTAACCTACTGAACAACATAGCTTAGCCTAGCCTACCTTAAACATGCTCAGAGCACAATTTCAAAAAAACACAGTCAACACAGAATACTATAGAGTATTTGTTGTTTACTCTCATGATTGCATGTCTGACTGGGAACTGTGGGTGGCTGCTGCTGCCAAGTATCACAGGACAGTAACTTACTGCATATCGCTAGCCCAGGAAGAGATCAAAATTCAAAATTTAAGGTATGGTTTCTACTGACTATTCCTTTTGCACCATCATAAAGTCAAAAATTGTAAGTCAAAACTTTTCTAAGTGTGTGTTCAGTAGGAAATTAATCACTTTTCTTTAGTAAATAAATGAATGCCAAGGATATTCATATCTTGATAACAGCAAAAAATTTAAAGCTTTTAAAGGTATCCTGTGGACAAGCTGAAAAAGTGCTGTATAACAATATAGTTAGATGGATTTATGACTCATAAAGAAAAATGGATAGATGTCAAATAGAGGAATATTTCTAATGGTATGCTACAGAGTTCTCTGTCTTTGACATTTTGTAAATGACTTGAAAATGCAGAATATAGACATAACTTTATGGATGAAATAGCTTATCAGCTTATCCAAGGGTTTCATTCAGTGGTGTCCTGGTAAATATTTAACAAAGGCTCTTTGGGGGAAAAAAGCCTTTATTTGTAGTGTTCGCTACTTTCCAGGGCGTAAATACTACTCCTCTGGCTGATTTCAAGCTGCCTAGGTAAATGTAAAGGTAGGAAGAGATGTGCACCATTGGCTCCACTTAGTAATTCTAATATTTTCACTTTGGCTATGGTAACTAAAGACTAATTATGGGCCAATCTTGATAAAAGCCTAAGCATTTTACTTCTTTTAACACATTTCTCATAATAATTCTATGAAGTTACTATTCCCATTTCACAGATGAGGCACAGAGAGATTAATTTACTGAAGTGACAGAATAGGTCTTAAATGCAGATTTTGTTGCTCCTTAGTTCTTGCTTATACAAAGATCAAAAATGTAAAGAGGAATCAAGTTGTTAGTGAGTGGTAAAGAAGGAAATGGCAGAGGTTCTAGAAGTACCAGATTATAGCTGTCTTCTGCAACAGGCCAGGACAAAATTCTATCCTTCAGGAAATTCTTAAAAGAATACTAGTGTAGATACATACAAAAAGCAGCTTCTCTAAGGAATCCCTCTGGTCTACAGAAGCATCTTTCGGGCCAGTGTAAGTCTAGAGTGATACACAGGATCAAACTTTGCCTTTAGAGCTTCACTGTTGAGTACTATAGCCACAGCCACATGTGGCTGTTTTAATTAAAATACTATTAAAAATATAGTCTCTCACCTGTATTAGCTTTATATCAAGTGCTCAATAGCCACATGTGGCTAGTGGCTCCTGTAACTAACTAGACAACATAGATATTGGACAATGTTGCTCTAGAGTGAAGCCTATCCATTGGCCAGGCATGCTTACTCTGCTTTTGTTGTACTCCCTCTTGTCAGATTTATATTTCTTCATGTTTTCCCTCTGACCTTTACGTTGGTGGCCTTCAACTGGTTAACTGCCTTATTTCCTATTTATATACTATTGTGTCCAGATCCAAACTTCAGAATTAGTAATTCCTCATTTCTTATCTCCTGCACCTTTCTTAGGGAACATATGTAATGTATAAGAAACAAGATTAACAAATGTTATAACTCAGAAGATTTATACCTTTTAAAAATCGGCATTAAATGCAATTTTTTTCTTTTTATTTAATAAGGAGGAGGAAGTTTAGATCATGCCACGCCATCTCAGGAGATTAATGGATGTTCAAATCAGAGACCTGCAGAGGACCTCACTGTCAGAGTGGAAAGGTTTGCTCTTACTTTTGCAGTAGTATTTTTGTTAAAAAGACAGTGGTTTTTAGTTATTTGATTAATTCAAGTAAAAACTAAAATTACACAAATGAAGTTTCAGAATTCTGGGTTGAAATTTTTTATTACCTGGTCAACTTTTATATCTATAAAGATAACATTCTAAAAGTAAAATTCTTCTGTATCTCTGAAGTGATCAGTCAGCTTTAGGTCTTATCATTCTAAGAGTCTTTTTTTCTCTGGCATTTTAGTACATGTGTGTTTCCATCTGTCACTTCTGCTTTTATCTCTCTATGCTATAGGATAATAAGTTCCAGATGGACAGGAACTTCAACTAATTTTATGACTGAATACTGAGCCTGGGTTCTGCATAAGTGGATGTCTATTAAGTGTCATGTGTTATAAGTTGGTCTAATAATCAGATACAAACTTCTGACTTTTCATAGTTTCTAGTTTAATATTTTTAATGGTGTAGTAATTAGCAAATCATAGTCTTTTATACTAAGATTCTTAGAAGTTGTATAAGTTAATGGTAAGTGGATAAGCAGGAATATTATTTAATCTTGACTTAGAACCACTTAGTATTATATGAAAGTTAAAAATTCTATAGAGACTTGACATTTTCTTGTTCACATAGAGCTATAAAGTAACAGGTTCAAAATGATTGCTGACGTCTGGGTATTTGGGTTCACTCGTGACTATAAAGATCAGCTTCATTTTAGCAAAACCTAGATTCTGATTGTTCTTCGTAAGAGTTAAGGCAGGGCCAGGATCTTGAGGTAAAAAGCAGGGTAGATCCTCTCACAGTGGTGAGAAATGGTATAAGGCTGGAAGAGTGGCAGCAGGGAACCAGAGTTTCCCAGGGGCTCATTCTCTTTTTTTTCCCTTCTGTTTTGCTAACAATGATCCTACCACTGGGCACCCATAGTTGTACCACCCTGGGGTGAAGTGAAAATCAGAAATCAGAAAAGGATTTGGAAACTTGGCGGGGAATGAGAAGAAACACAGCAGGTAGCCCTTTATCGTAGGTCGGAGTCAGGTGCTATTTAATTGCAATGGGAAAGGAAAGTTTTTGTTGTTTTTTCTTTATTTTTCAGTTACAGTTGACATACAATGTTACATTAGTTTAAGGTTTGCAACATAGTGATTAGCCATTTATATACCTTACAAAATGATCACCATGCCCTGATAAGTCTAGTGCTTATCTGACAAGCTACATAGTTATTACAGTATTATTGACTATATTCCCCATGCTGTTCTTTATATTCCTGTGTCTGTCTTTATAACTGGCAGTTTGTACATCTTAATCCCTTTCACCTTTTTCACCCATCCCATCACCCCCGCCTCCTGTTGTTTCTTAATAGCTTCTGTTCTCATGTAAGGGAATATCTACTGTGTCTGCCTATATGGTTCTACAAATATAATACACCATTTTAATTTTAAAAAGTTATATGTACACACACTGGTGTATATGTGTTACATAGTATAGTGAGTCAGATAAAGACACTTTAAGACCTACAACAAAATGTTTATACTAGTATCTATGAAAAAGGAATTGGGGGTTGTCCTTTGCTTTTGTTCTCAGGTTGCTAAATTTTCTTCACAGAGCACTATTACTTTTATAATTAGCATATCAGGTTAGAGTGGGTCTATAATTTGAGATTCCTTAAACTGAAAAAAAAACTTTAAAGTGCTTTTGGAGATGAGCACTTTATGCAATTTTTTTAAAGAAGTTTGTGTTGTTAGGTCTGTTATATGAAATATATGTGGGCTGGGGTCTTTTAAAAAAGGATGTTAATATTGAAATTGAGTGAAATGTTGACAAACTTAATGAAACAGTTTTCATTGGAAAGTAACTGTTAACTGCTTAGAAAATTTTTGAAAATTCCAAGTTATAGTCATATAATTAAAATCATGTAACTACTTCAAATTGTTGCTGAGATTGATTTATCAGATTCAACCAAGGTCTTGATACTAATTAATTCACTTGAGGTCCTGCATATTATTCATTTGAGTTCTCAGTTAGGAATTTTGTTCTTTTGTGGAATCTGATTCATTGACAATGACAATAACTAAAAACATCAACCTATATAACATAACATTTCTATTCCAAATGTCCCCCAGGTGTCTCCTTTGCCTATCATTGTTATACCCTTAAGGTTGCCTTCATCTCCACTGTCCCATCATAGACTCTGTGGTGCTTTGGTGCCTCCGACTCATCCTCTATAGGGTTATTGGGCCCTAACGTGCTGCTAGTTTCCCTGTCTAAGAGAATTGAACTGCAGTGCTTTTTCTCAGTCCATGTAAGTTGGACCCATTAATCCCTGTAATATATTCCGATATTTACACAATTATGTAATACCAGGCTCTGTAAAGCAAAATTTCATGCATTTTTCTCTAACTTTGATGATATTTTAAAATATATTTTATACAAATTAAAAATTTAGCTATAAAATTAGGCAGTGTGGATTAGTAAATGTAGTATTCTAACTTTCCTCTTAAGCTGTAACATCTCTTTCCAGAGACCTAGTTTTTAGAAAACTAATTACTCCATACTAGGTCTTAGGATTTTTTCTCATTTAGTTTGAAGGAAAAGTAATCTTGTTGGGGAAAAAAGTGACTTTCTATCTTGAACTGCCTTTTCTCGAGGAAGTAAACCTGATTTTTTAAAAAATGGATTGATTTGTAACTGTGAGACTCAAAAAAAAATTTTAATACTAATTAAATATATAGTGTTTTGTTTTTAAAGCTAAAAGATGTGAAATACAAATATTTTAAAATACATTATTTTGTTCATATTAGGTTTAAAAATTGGCACAGTTATCTGGGAAAGATAATATATAGTGTCATCAATTCCAATCTTTAATTTGGAAAGATTTCAGCCTCAAAAAGTTGAAAGAATGGTATAATGACAACCCTTTTTGCTGATTCATTTGAAAATTGAAGGAATCATTTCGTTTTACTCCAAATACTTGAGGATGTATCTCCTAATAATAAAAACATTGACTGAGGTTCTGTTGTCTCTGAGCAGAATCTCCAGCCTAGGTTGGAGCCTGGAGTCTATATACCCAGTGACCTATGCTCAGGCCAATAAAATTAAGTAGTAGATTCCCAGATGCAGACGTGTTGAAACAGTTGATTTGTCATTAAGATGCAGTGGGCTTTTCAACCAAATTAGAAAAAAATTATATCTCTTTTTCTCAGAAAAGAATTCTATAGGTGGTGTATAATTAAAGAATAAAGACATTTTCAGATTTTATTCATTAATAATCACACTAAACAAACTATTATCACACTAAAATTATAAATTGATATAGTAAGATTATCTAATATTCTATCATATTTAAAGTACCCCAGTTATACTAATAATGTCCTTTATAACTTTCTTCCCCCTTATTCAGGATCTAATCTAGGGTCATTTCATTGAATTTAGTGTAGTCTCCTTTAATCCAGAACATCCTCTTTGTTTGTTTTTTGTTGTTGTTGTTTTGTTTTCATTTTTCATGACTTGGATAAGTTTGGAGTCTAGGCTAGTTGTTTCTAGAATGTCCCTTGATCTGTTCTCTGTTCTGTCATTCTAGACTGAAGTTAAACTTTAATGAGAACATCACCTAGGTGATGTTTTGTCCTTCTCATTATTCTCATCAAGAGGCAACTAATATGAGATGTACGCATTATTAGCGATGTTAAGTTTAATCATTGGTTATGATATCTGTTGTATTTTTTCATTAAAAAGACACCCTTTTCCCTAATTAAGGAGTTATCTATAGGATGATTCTTTGAAATGGTGAATATGCTATTCCTCAAAAACTTTCACCAGTGGTTTTGGCATCCATTGATATTTGGATATCCATCAAATATTTGGATATTTGATATCCATTAGTTATTTCATTGGTAGTTAAAAATAGTGAAGTATTTTTTCTAATTGTTTCTTTTACATTTATTAGCTAGCTTTCACTCTTCTATAGAAAAGTGCTATGATTCACTTCTTCCTACTTTCTATACCCCTCCTCCCATTTTTTCCAGTAAACTTCATATTGGACACCAGCATTCAGATCCAGAATTAGGAAATTACCAGTGTACAACAAGCACTGGTGGCCTGATGCCCCTTTCTTAGTTTCTGCTTCCCTCTCAGAGATAATCACTATCCTGAATCTAACACCACAGATGAGTTTTGCTATTTGTAAGCATCATCATGGAATCATACCACATGTACTCCTTGTGTCTGCTCTCCTTTGCTCAGCATTGTATTTGTGAGGACTTTTCTGTGTTGTTGCATGTGACAATAGTTGGTGCACTCTCATTGCTTCATCGTATTCTTTGACTATACCACAATTTGTCCATTTTACTATTGATGGATATTTGAATTGTTTTCACTTTGGGGCTGTTATGAATAGGGCACTATGAGCATTCTTGTATATGTCTTGGTGAACATGTCTTTTGGATGTATTTGTAGGAGTAGGAATATGTAGGAGTGAGTCATAGATACTGGCCAATTTTCCAGAGTGCTTAATGCCAATTTATAAGTCCCCTCAACAGTAAAATGTTTTATGAATCCTTTTTTTCTCTAGTGTGTTACAGTTTATTTCTCTTATGATTATTTTTCTGTACAAATTGCCCTAAATTTGTCTAGGAGAGTTCCCTTCATGCTGGGTCTTCTGTCCTTTTAGCATACATCTCATCATTCTTTGAGCACTCTTTTGATTTCTGGCACAAGTTGTTGAGCTGAGTTTTAGCAAATATATCCGCCTGTGCATCCCAAATTCTTCTCAGAGAAAGTACCATTATTTTTTAAAATCGAGATATAATTCACATGTCATAAAATTCAAAGTATACAGTTCAGTGGATTTTAAAATATTCACAAAATTGTGTAGCCACTACCACTGTCTGCTTTCAGAATCATTAGTTTTTAATTGATGAATTTCTTACAGTTGGGAATTAGTTTTGGTATTATTAGTTTCAGTTTTTTTGCTTTTACTTTTTAATAACTTTGTGCCATATTCCTGTTTACTTCTGTATAAGGAGAAAAGCATTTGTAAGTCATTGATTTATATATTTATTTGAAGATGTGGCTTGGGGCGGGGAAAGGGAACCAATGGTAAGTAGGAGGTAAGGCACATAGAACTGGAGCCAGGCTTCTGATTGGCTTCCACTGACTCATCATGGATTTTTCTAAGGGCCAGGAGATAAATTGTTGCTATTCCTTCAGGAGCTTTTGTTTGTTTGTTTCTACATTTCCCCAGTTATTTTTAGCTAAATGAATCTCCTAAATATATTTTATGTTACTATGATGTGTTTCAGTTAATGTATTTAAAAAATTTTTTTTTAAAATATAGACTAACCAAAAAACTTGAAGAAAGGAGAGAAGAGAAAAGGAAAGAGGAAGAACAGGTAAAGTTCCTATACCAAGCATTGTTTTAATCTTTCATTAGGTAAGAGAATGTTTGATTACCTATTCCGTTGGCAGACTTAGGGTGGCTTCCTGGTTATAGGTCAGTGTTGTAGTAATGAAAGGAATTATTTGTCATCTTTAGTAGTATCATAGTCTACACCTTTTTTGTGTGGTTTTTTTTTTTTTTTTTTTTTTTTTTGGTAAATTGCTAGGAATTGGCTTATTTCTCCCTCTGCTATGAGTTTTCTACACTAATAATAAATGGACTTGAACTAAAATTATTTGTTTGATGCAGATCAAACTTTTAGTTCTTTTGTGTGAAGAAGAAATTTGTAGACATTGTGCTGATTTTTTCCTCTGGTTTTGCTGCATTCTAGTGCACCATTGATTTTTCTCATCATGTGCACAAAAACTGTAGCATCTCTTTGGGGTTCTAATATAGGAAGGTTATCATTTTTTCAAGCCATATAAATGACTGACTTGTTGTCTTTGGAGGGTAATGTATTCATCTTAGAAACCAATGACCTATAATTCTGTTTGTTTTCAAATTGCGTTGACCACATCGTAATCTTAATAGAACCACTGGCAAAGATTCATAAATTGATAAACATTTGACCATTAACCCATGTTGGTAATAAATTGTACTCACCCCTTACATTTTATGAAGTTGTTTCATTCCTTTCGTTGTACCCTACAACCAGCTTTTTTGCATACATAATAGTCTCTAGGGTAGATTATTAAATTGTGTTTTCGGCTCATAAAACTTATTACTTTCTCTTTAATTTAGAGAGAGATTAAAAAGGAAATTGAGAGGAGAAAAACTGGAAAAGAAATGTTGGATTATAAAAGAAAGCAAGAAGAAGAATTAATAAAAAGAATGTTAGAGGAAAGAAACAGAGAAAAGGCAGAAGATAGGGCAGCTCGAGAGCGTATAAAACAGCAGATTGCATTGGTGAGTATTAAGTTTATCTAGAACATGAAATTGTTTTTCTATGCACAGTGATTTTGGTTTATTACCAGACAATGCACACAAAAATTGTAGATTTTAGTGACTCAAAGAGTACCAATTCTCAGCTTCCTTTTACTAAAAATTGTATGTTGAATTAAAATACAGTTAAGATTAAAATTGAGATGATTTATTACTTTGTAAATTTTATAAATGTCTAACCACTATGCATACACCTGAAACTAATATAAAATAATATTGAAGGTCAACTGTGATTGAAAAAAGGCGGTGAGGGGGAGAGGAATAAGTTTGGATTTCCAGGTATATTACAAACAAGTTGTGAGGATTTGGTATACAGCATAGGGAATATAGTCAATAATCTTATAATAGTATTGTACGGTGTCAGATGGCTGCTGAATATATTATGGTGATCACTTCTTTAAGTATATAAATGTTGCATAACTATGCTTTACACCTGAAACTAATACAATATTATATGTTAGCTATATTTTAATAAAAATCTTTAAAAAATAAAAATAAAGAAAATTCAAAAATAAATAAAATTGAGATGATTTTTTCAGAGTAATTTTTCTCCATGTTATATTTTGAATTTAATCAGTAGTCAGAAGATAGTTTTCAAAGATTCCCTAGAAAAGAAGCTAAGAAATGGTTACCTAACAGTCTCCTCTAGTCATAAGCATTCATTTTTGGGACATTCAGAGGATTTAGACACATAAGTAGAAGCTTAAGATGGTTTTGTAACAATTGCTTTTAGAATTGAACAGTTGTAATGCTTGTGAAAACCATGCCTACCTTAATATTGTTTGTTCATTTGTTCATTCAGCAAATACCTACTATGTGCCAGACCTGTTGTGGGCTCTGGAGATATAGTAGTGACCAAAATCAAGTCCCTGTTTGTTTAGTAACAACTCTGGTCCTTGGCAATTGATAAAACTAAAAAAAATACCAGATCCAGAGTGATAAAGTTAACATATGACTTTAAGGAATTTCATGCATATATGTGTTTGTTCCTTTTGTTTAGAAATGTGTGAATTACACCATTCTGACAATGAAAAATAATTAATGTCTAACAACTGTTTTAAAGGATCGTGCAGAGAGAGCAGCTCGTTTTGCAAAGACAAAGGAAGAAGTAGAAGCTGCTAAAGCTGCTGCCTTGCTGGCCAAACAGGCAGAATTGGAAGTCAAAAGGGATGCTTCTGCAAGAGAAAGAAGGTACTTTATTTCTTGCTTAAATATCTGTATGTATGTGATAGCTGAGGAGAACAATGGTTGTAGTTGTAGGCTGCTTTTTAAAACTGTTGTATGCTATGACTATAATAAGTAGTTCCAGAAGGACATATTGACCAATTTGGCAGCTGCCAATGGAGTTCGTTATTGGATATGAATTTACAGTGTAACAGTACTAAATACAGACAGTCCCCAACTCATGATGGTTTGACTTAGGATTTTTCAACTTTACAGTGATGCGAAAGTGATAAGCATTTAGGAGAAACTGTGCTTCAGATCTTTTACTAGTGTAGTGATACGTGCTATGATACTCTAGTGATGCTGGGCAGCAGCAGAGAGCTGCAGCTCCCAGTCAGGCATACTATCATGAGGGTAAACTACCAGTGCTCTACCGTGTATTCATTGCATTAAGATGATTTTGCTTTACTGTAGGCTAATGTAAGTGTTGTGAGCATGTTTAAGGTAGGCTAGGCTTAGCTATGATGTTCGGTAGATTAGGTGTATTAAGTTTTCAATTTACAGTGGGTTTATTGTGATGTTACCCCATTGTAAGATGAGCATCTGTAAATGACTTAAAAAGAGGGCTCAAGAAATCTCTGTCAAAAAAACCACATACATCAAAATGATTTATTGTAGTTATCTTGTGTATTAGCATTCTTTAGTTGTCCTACCTCAAATCAAATAGGATTAAGCAAAAGAGAGAATCCATTGGCTCTGCAATTGAGAGTTCCAGTGATGAATTTGGTTAAGCATAGTTAGGTCCAGGGATCTAAAGGATATTCTTAGGATTTTTTTCTCTTTCTCTTTTTAATCTCTTGATTTCTTCTATTTTAGCTTTAATCTCAGAGAAAGTCCTTAGATGGTGTAAGGAGAACCCAGGGCCTCATGGCGCTTTCAGGACCTTGAGATCCTGATCCCAGATAGAAAAAATGAACTCTTTTTCCTAAAGCTCATGTCATTCACTGAGGAAAATTCCAATTGGCCCTGCTTGGATGATGTGGCCACCTCCAGACACAGTCACTTCGTGTGGGTTCTCTGGTTGGGGTAGTTGTTAAGCCCTCAGTAGAAGAAATGTTATTGATAATCATACCAGAATGAATGACATGTAGCAGGGATAAGGCAATTCCCCAAACGGGAAGTATGTTGCAAAAACAAGAATTTAGATTTCCAGTATATCCTGTTTGTTGGATTGTGGTTAATATTTATTTTCTTCTCTGTACTTTCTGTGTTTTCCGTATTAAGGAATTAATAAGCATTACTTTCATAATTATAAAAAATTTTTTAAAACTTTCTAAAATTTTACAATACTTAAGAATATACTTAAAAATATTAAATCTTCTATAGAACACAGAATGTCTTTCCATGTATTTAGGTTTTAATTCTTTCAACAGTGTTTTCTAGTTTTCAGTGTACAAGTCTTAACACTTTTGTTAAGATGTCAGTACTGCTTCCCAAACTGATTTATAGATTCAACACAGTCCCTGTCAAAATCCTTGCTAGTTTTTCTGTCAAGATTTTTTAGGGATCTGATCCTAAAATTCATAGGGAAATGAAAGGGACCCAGAATACTCAAAACAGTCTGGAAAAAGAACGAAATTGAAAGACTCAGATTTTCTGATTTTAAAACTTAATACAAAGCTACAATAACCAAGACATTGTGGAATTGGCATAAAGATGGACATATGGATCATGTAATAGAATCGAGACTCCAGAAATAAACTTACATTTTTAATCAATTGATTTTTTAAAAGAGTACCAAGACCATTCAATGAGGAAAGAATAGTCTCTTTAACAGATGGTGCTTCAACAAGTAGATATATGCAAAAGAATGAATTTGGACCCTTGCCTCCTACCATATAAAAGATTAACTCATAATGGATCATCGACCTAAGTTTAAAAGGTAAAAATAGCTCTTACTCTTAGGGAAAAAATGAGGAAATCTTAAGACCTTGGAATAAGTAATGGATTCTTAGACATAACTCCTCCCACCCCCCAAAAAAAATCACGAGCAACAAAAGCGATAAGTTAGACTTCATCAAAATTAAAAAGTGAAAAGATCTGACATTGTGAAAAAAACCCTATTTTCATGCATTTCCACTTTGTTTCTGTAACTTTAGGTATTATTTGAGAATAGAGGTAGTAAAGATGCTGACTTAAATTTTCTGCTTTCACAGCACCATTGCAAGAATTCAGTTTCGTCTTCCTGATGGTTCTTCCTTTACAAATCAGTTCCCTTCTGATGCTCCTCTAGAAGAGGCAAGGCAGTTTGCCGCACAGGTAAGTTTATGTCTTGAGTTATAGTAAAGGTAGATGAATAGGTTAATAAAATATAGGAGGGGAAATTTTCAAGCAGAATTTGAAAAATGTGAATAAGTCATGACTTATCCCCAGGAGGGAGGCACAGGACCTCTAGAGTATTGTGGAGCTTCTTTCATGTATTAATGCCACATAAAAACAGCATAGGTGCTTGTTGAGCAAAAATAGGAATTTGCTGATATTATACAACAGGCTCTGGAAACCTTTTTCACTGCTTAGTACACTCAACTGGAGGAATGAAAAGCAAGTGATTTTTCCAGAGGTCTGATCCGAATTGTCTCCTGTGAAAAAGGATATGGTTTTTCTCGGTCCTCTGCACATTTTCTGCAGGTTGCTTACAGTGCTTTGGAGATGACCATTTTACCACCATCTGCCAGTTGTCCAAGTCTATAGATCATTAATCTTTATTTGGCAACAAGTATCTTCTTTAGGAATTTACTTCCAGAAAGTAGCTTACTCAAAATCTATGAGTAACTTCCAATTAGTTTTTATTTTCTGATTGATTTCTTACTCAAAATGTATTCTAGGCATCAGATGTCCTTTATTATCTAGGCCCATTATATGTACCAGTATTTGTCTCATATATCACTTCAAAGTTAAAATTAGAGTTCAAATCTTTTAGCTAGATCTCTTCTCTGCATTTAGTCTGCTACCTCACTTATGGGTCCCAAGAGAAGGATACCTAAAAAGCTATCTGCCTTCCTCCACTGCTGAGCTGGGCTGGACAATATAAAAACATATGTTAAGAACCCTTTTCTCTAAGCTTTATAGTAACCAACTCAAACAGCCACTTTCATTCTTTTGCCATGGAGCCCTACCTGGGGCCTCCCAAAAGGGGGTACCCCTGGCCTGAGTCTTATTGCCTCTGCCACAGGTAAGTAAAGAAGGGGAGGCACGTTGGGGTGGGTGGGGAATAAAGGATCTATCTCAGTCCTTTTAGAACTTCACTTCAGTAGAATGACCTAATTTTGTGTTTGTCTATGTCCTTATGTTAGAATGAGAATGGTGAGGTATATATATGACCTGCAGTGGAAAATTACAAAAAAACGAAAGCATTAGTCTCTTTCTTTGAAATCTTCTGGTTAAACAACTGTCTAAGATTTTATAAGTATAGGTGACTTAAAATTGTGAGTTATGCTGCTCAATGTAATTTTATAAGTATAGGTGACTTAAAATTGTGAGTGATGCTGCTCAATGTAATTTCCTGGATCTGGGTATTTTATGTATTGTGTGGATTAATTTTGGACCATTTATTCTTTGAGACGAAGGGGCAGAAATCTCTGATGTTTCATATATGAGGTCTGTTTCAGATTTTTAATATGGAATATCTATAATTGAAATGTGTACTTGTGAGATAGTAATATAAATTTGCCAAAGGATAATGAAAACTCATGGCAAATTGCAGCCATACTTAAAAGAGATATCTAATTGTTCATTTTTATTCAGTTTGTTTATATGGTCTTAGGAACTATATTTTTGCTAAGGTTATTTTTGAATTATAAAAGCTTTTAAATACTATTTGGATTTGACAGCTTTCAGCTACTTTTTGAAGCACAAAGTTTTTAATGTATTTTGAGTTTACATTTAAATGAACTTTTTAAATTAAGGCACTTTTAATTAAAGCAGTCATTTTGGATGCATGTGAGTAATACCTTACTTTGAAAAGGAATCATTTTAATGTTTGTAAATTTATTGTTATGTTACAGACTGTTGGCAACACATACGGTAATTTTTCATTAGCAACCATGTTTCCCAGGAGAGAATTTACCAAAGAAGATTATAAAAAGAAGTTATTGGATTTGGAACTTGCCCCAAGTGCTTCAGTGGTACTATTACCAGTATGTATATACATATGTGTTTTTTCTAATAATTTATGTTCTACTTTTGATTGTTTCTTGTAATAAATGGAAGAAAAGATGAAAGCTATATACTATGGATAATTAAAATCCAAATTATTCAAAATCAATTTATTGTTCCATTATCCCATGGTTTATGTATTTTTATTATTAGTGAGACATTAAGTAAATAGATTGATTTTCAGCTTTTTACCTTACCTATTTTCATGTACAAAAAATGACTAGTAGAAGAAGAAAAGATGCGGAGTGTCTAATCTTTAGATTTAGTGTCTTTTATTTGTGTATGACTCTACTGTTCACCAGATTTTTAAAAATCATTTTAACATAAAAATATTCATTTTTAACATTAATTCCATTTGATCCTTACAATAATATGAAGAGGCTCCGAAAGCTTAAAAAATTTTGACAAAGTGCCACCTTAAATGCTGGAACTTGGATGAGAGCCTGGGTCTTTTGTGCCTGAGTTAGTCTAGTTTTCCCTGATCTGAACTAGAGCCCCACACCTAAAACAGTTATCCCTCCAGTAATCAGGATTAATTGCATTCACTGAGGTTTGAAACTTCTCCCTTTTTTCCAATCATCAAGAAAGACTTTTCTTATCAAAGTTACTAATTTCAGTAGAAAAGTTCTCTTAAAAATAATTGGTTCATTTCACCGAGAACTTTCTGGTTTCTATGTTATGGTTGCTTCTTTAAAAAAAACAGAGCTCCAGGAATGTCCAGAAGTTTGTATATACTTGAAAAACAGCAAAAGTTGGTAATTTCCCTCCTTGTAGTAAACTGAAATCAATAAGACTTTCTTTTTCAAATATAAGATTCACCTAGAACCTTGTGTGTGATGTGATTGGGCTGATGTAGTCTTTATCTAGGTTCATTTTTTAATTTTTAGGCAGGAAGACCAACTACATCCATGGTACATTCTTCCAGTGGAGACTTTTGGACATTGTTGGGAACAGTACTTTACCCATTCCTTGCCATCTGGAGACTGATTAGCAACTTCTTATTTAGTAATCCTCCTCCTGCACAGACCTCAGTGAGAGCAGCATCTTCAGAATCCTCAACCCTTGCATCTTCCAGCAATTCAGAAAAAAGGTATCTGTGTTTTTCCTGTTTGCAAAATATGTTAATAATGCCCAATACGTTATTCAGAATGAGAAATTTTGTTTTAGGTACTTCATTTTCTTTCTGTATTAGGGAAAAACCCCAAATGTTCTGAGCATTTATTATATAATCTCTCTGGGGAAGCTCACCTACCTGTGTTTTCTCAGCCATCTTCCTAAAACCTCTTCCATGGAAAGCTTCTTCACCTCTTTTGGTTTTATTTATTTGTTGAATTTTCTTCATCCCATTAGAAAAGTAGATTTTCTTCAGGCCTAAATAGTAATACTTTTCTTGGTAGCCATGTTTTGTCTGACAAGATATTCCATTAATTTCTCACAGTCATCTTGTGTAATTTCTTTAGAGGGATTGTGTTCTTGAGAATTTTCTCTGGGTCATTTAGAGAAGGACCAAGCTGAGAAAACTGGATAGTTATTTGGACTATCCAGTTATTTGGAGAGTTATTTAGACTAGTCCCTTAACCAAGAGGCCTTTTTTTTATTGCAGATGGTCAAGGTTAGAATGGTAATACCAGCAGACAACTCTAATCATTTTAACTCATACGTCTGTTAAGATTTTGCATTTTTTAACAATAATAGAAAGTAGTTTTCTAGAAGATGAGATTATACAATAGCACAATTTATTACATGATATACCAACTACTGTTAAACACGCTATTAGGCCATTAATAGTCATTATAGCAAATCGTCACACTAATACTATGTGATAAGGAATGGAAATCCTTTCCGTCAGTAAGGAAATCCTAGTCTTGAGTCCTAGTGACTCCTAGATTAAGATATGTGTAGATACTGTGATTGGGCTGATTTAACTTTTATCTTGATTTCTTCCTTAGCTATTAGGCAGGAAGACCAATTATATCCTTAGTACATTGTTCAAGTGGGGACAGAGGGAAATTCTTCTCTTGTGTTAGAACAGCATTCAGACTAGGCCTTATTAGTGCTGAATTTGGAAATCTTACTGAGCAATGGGTGGAAGTATTTAATCCTGAATTACTGTAATATGGGATAGCTTGCTGTGTGGGTTTTTAAAACTTTTTTCAAATAAGAGAAGAGGACTTGGGTTTGGGCAAAGGATGGGATGACTATATTTCTGAGAGGGCAAAACTTGTGTTCCACTATTGGTTTTCCTTTTTTTCCTTTTCGCTCTCTGTCCCCCTCTAGAGTTGAAGAATATATTAGCTTAAATTTAACCCCTGTTTCCTTCCTATTTTGGATTGAAATCCCATTCTTAATTGTATAAGTAATTAAAGATTATAAAAGGATTAAAAATTGCTAATTGACCATTTCTGTCAATTAGGCTATGAATGGAGCTTTGGATAGCTTCTAGGGTGCTATGTAAAGCATAAATTGTTTTAGTAGCTATGTCAGCTTGCATAACTAATAAAGGAAAGATTAGTTGGCAGATGATTCTACTTCTAAAGCTTACTAAGTCATCAAGAAATATATGGAAGAGATTCAAGATGACGTAGAAGATAAAGGCTCTACACGCCTCCTCTAGCTACTACACTAAAATTATCACAAAACTACAGAGCAACCAGTACGTGGAATTGCCAGAGGTCTGGCTGAATAGAAGCCCTACAACTAGGTCACCTCAAATAACAGATCACCTCGAAATGGTAAATGCGGTAGAGATGCCAAACAGCCCAGTCCCACAAGTGGAGTGGCGATTGAGTATTGAGAGGGCTATCTTGGCTGCAGAGCCCCCTCCCCCACCTGAGGAGTGAGGGGTCCTGGCTGACGTACACTGGGCTCCCACTCCAGGGTTCCATTGCCAAGAAAAGTCCCCCCAACCTCTGGCTGTGAAAACCAACAGAGGTTGTGACTGAGTGAAATGGAGGGCTGCAGGAAACAGAGACCTTCCACTTGTCCTTACTAGCTGACAGACTCAATGGCTCTGAGCTCCAGTGCTGGAGCAACTGCTTGGGGGGCGCCAGGGACATACAGGGAGGCGCTGAGCTGTTGGGTTTCAGGGTGAGGGCTGAAGGGGCAGTTTGCTCCTGGACAGAGGTATAGGCAGAAGCTTTGTTCCTTTGTTGAGCCCTCTCCCTTCCTAGCCACACAGGTACCAACAACCTGGATAACACAGGTCGCTCTGCCCAGGGGATTCTCTGAGACTCCACCTCTCCCAACTTATGGGCCCACCCAAGCCACTTGCAGTAATTTTATTCCATACAAACGGGCCGTCTTGGCTCCTGCTGCGAACTTTCACAAAATCTCTCAAAGGCTCACAAAACCCAAAGAAGCAGCATCTGGCCTCGGTGTGTTCTGTACCTCTTGCTGAGCAGCCCCAAACCCTGCACTAGTGGCAGCCGGCCTTGGTTTCGAACTTGACCCCTTGAGGCACCTATAAGCCTAGCATGGGTGGCAGCCATATGTAGATTGCTTGGTGACACTTAACAGGTGGCCCTGGAGGTACACAGGCTGTGGCTGAACTTGGCCTGCAGCTGGACCCCTCTCAGGTTTGTGCCAAGGGGCCCACACACATTGCATACAGCCACTCTGCTAAGGCTGAGAGACTTAGGAGTTGTACCTAATACATAGAAACAGACACAGGGAGACAGCCAAAATGGGGAGACAATCATGTCCCACTTGAAAGAACAAAACAAAGCTTCAGAAAAATTCACCAAAATGGAGACAAGGAATATAAACACTGGTTATAAGGCTACTTAAGGAACTTAGGGGAAGAGTAGACGAACTCAGAACTTTAACAAAGAGATAACAAAAACGGAGATGGAAATTATGAAAAGGAACCAGTCAGAAATGAAGAATACAGTGTCTGAGATGAAGAGTATATTAGAAGGAATCAACAGAGTGGAGGAAACGGAGGATCAAATCATCAATATAGAGGATGCGGTAGCGGAGGACACCCAATCAGAATGGCATCAACAAAAAAAATGAAGATAATAGAAGGAGCCTATGGGATAACATCAGATGTAACAAAAGGAGAAAGCAATAAGTTGAAAACCTATTTGAAGATATAATGATGGAAAATTTCCCTAACCTGGGGAAGGAAATAGACATACAACCCAAAAAGATGAGAGTCCACAAAAAGATGAACCCAAAGAGGCCCACACCACGACACATCATAATTAAAATGCCAAAAGTTTAATACAAAGAGAAAATCTTAAAAGCAGCAAGAGAAAAGCAGTTACCTACAAAGAAGCTCCCATGAGACTGTCAGCTGATTTCTCAAAAGAAACCTTTCAGGATAGAAGGGCTTGTCCCAAATTAGTCAAAGTGATGAAAACCCAGGATCTACAACCAAGATTACTTTATCTAGCAAAGCTATCATTTAGAGTCAAAGAACAGATGAAGAGCTTCTCAGACAAGAAAAAGCTAAAGGAGTTCATCATCACCAAGCCAGTATTACAGGAAATGTTGGAGGGATTTCTTTAAGAAGAAGAAAAAATATGTAGCAAATATATGAATAAAGAATGGCAATAAGTACAATTAATACCATAAGTATTAGTAAGTTCTTCAAATGAAAAAGAGTTAAGTGCTCCAACCAAAAGATAGGGTGGCTGAATGGATAAGAAAACAAGACTTTTACATATGCTTCCCACAAGAGACTCACTTCAAATTAAAAGACACTTAAACTAAAAGTAAGGGGATGGGAAAAGAAATTGTGTGATGGACCTAGAGGAAGATAAATGCCATATGATTGCATGTATATGTGGAATCTAAAGAACAAAACAGAAACCAACTCATAGATACAGAGAATGTCTTGAGGGTTACCAAATCAAAGGCAGGTTGAGGGGATCGGTGAAAAGTGGGGAGGGGATTAAGAAGTACAAATTGATAATTACACATAGTCATGGAGATAGAAAGTATAGCATAAGGAATATGGCCAATAATATTAGAGGGGTACTAGATTTATTGGAGTGAGCACTTTGTGAGTTATATAGATATCTACTTACTATGTTGTATATCTGAAACTAATATAGTGTTGTATGCCAACTATAACTAAAAAATTATTTAAAAAATGGAAGTGGAAAATAATGATTTTGGTGGTTTGGCTTGGAGAAAAGGTGAAGTTAAACTGCTAAAAACGTATGAAGTCTAGTACTGCAATAGTAGATATAGTTATCTTCTGTAACTTAAAGTATTGTTTTCTATACTAATGGAATTGTAAGGGAAACAGTTTTGTGTTATTGCTGTTTTCATTTTATGTTATCTTGTCTTTTCTCCCTCTTTTATTGTATCAGGGAACCAGTCAGAAAAAGAGTGCTGGAGAAACGGGGAGAAGACTTTAAAAAGGAGGGGAAGATATATAGATTGAGGACTCAAGATGATGGTGAAGATGAAAATAACACTTGGAATGGGAATTCAACTCAACAGATGTAGTGTGACAAGTACAGTATGTGCAATAATCATTGTTTCTCTTATGATTTAATTCAACTAAAATTCTGCTGGAGAGGTGGAACTGCTTTATTTTTTCCAACTGATCTATAAAGTATCTCTTTATTCCCGCTTAGTGGGTTAAAGTTGTTTTAACTCAGACAAGTCAAGAGATAAAATAACTAGCTGCTAGGTCCTTGCATATGGTAACCAGCTACTAGAAGCCTAAAAGAATCAAAAGGTCTTCCACGGCCTCCTTTCATAAGCTTTCTTATTCAGTATTTCATATACCCATTAGTCCTGTGCTCTCAGATGATATGCTTTGTTTAAACTATTTTGCTCCAGAACTCTTTAAGCCCACACAAAGTAACATATGTCACTGAGTAATTTGACTCTGAGTCAGAGCATTTTAACTAGCCAATCAGATGGTAATTTGTTTTTTTTTTTCTTTTTGCTCATCAGCTGCAAGCAAAATCTTGTAGTTTTTAATCTTAAACACTGAATAAAAAATCTTTTCCAAAAATTGTAATGACCTTATTTTTGCTTTAAGTTTTGTTATCCTCGCATCTTTTTGTTGCACAGGGCTCTGTTGAGGTCATATGTCTGGTTTTTAACCCTTGGTATTGCCCTGGAGCTATCAGGAAAGTAGCTGACCACCTTACTTTAAATATCACTGAAGGAAGAAATTTTTTGACACACATCGATGCTATGTTACTATCTCTCCTAAGTCAGCAAGGCATCACTTTGCATAATGTTCTTGTCTTTGTTCTCATCAAATGCAAAACAACGCTAATCTACAACTAGTCCCCTAACCTTTATAAATTTTTGCTCTCCTACTTCAAAGACCTAAAGTACTTGTGTAGGACGAGATGTATGGAATAAAGATATGCCTTTTGCTCATTTGGTTACTCTTAAGAACTTTAAAGAGATTCTTAGTCTCGATTGGTACTTTACCGTATGTTTTTGGGAGTGGAGTCCACTAAACTAATAATGTTTGAAAAAGGGAATAAACTTGACAGTTCCTCTTTTAACCTTCTGCTTTTAGATTGAGACATATCACTTGAGTGAACATGTAGAAAGGACCCTGACTTTATATTTTGTAATGGGAGGAAGAAATTTTCTCAGCAAACTTTTTTCACCTATGAAATAACAATGATTTTTTAAAATGGTAGTAGTCATTGTTGGCAAGGAAACAGGCTCTGCTGGTGGTTGGAGTGAAAACTGGTATATAACCTTTTTGAAAAACATGAGAAACAAATATTTCATACTCTTTGATCCAACAGTTTTTTCTAAGGAACGATCATAAATGCAGACAAAATTTAGGCATAAATATATTCATTAAGTGGTATTTATTTTACCTAAGAACTAGAAACCAACTAAATGCCTTGTGCAGATATGATTAACTTTCGATGTGGAGAAATGGTACAATATTAATTCAACAATTATATGTTATATGTTGGGGAGAAAAATCAGGATACAGAGCTATTGGTGTACAGTATGCTCTTAGCTTTGTAACCACACTTTATATATAGATACTACTATGTATTAACATAATGTAAAGAAAAAAGAAAACATACCGAACATTGAGTGGTTATATGGAATTTTAGTTCTTTTTTTTGAACTCATATATATATATTCTCTCAATTTTTTGCAATGATCATATTACTTCAGTAATTTAAAAAGTGTGCTTGAAAAAGAAAAATCCAGCATCCCATTTAAGTTAGTTTTGTCATCTTTAAAAATATAGCAATACATGATATAAAAACAAAAAACTCAAATGGGTGTGACCCTACTAATAACTATTAGAAACATATTCGCAAAAACTTGGAGTACCTTAGGTGAGTTTGCCTTGAAAAAAATCAAATGTAGATCTTAGAGAAACATATACAAAGGAATGGTTCACAATCTTTGAGTAGGAGGATCTCTCAGTTTTATATTTTGAAAAGTATACATGGTAAAGAAAAACTCAAAACAATATGGAAGGCTAAAAAATAAAAACCTCATCTTTGCATCTTACCCCCAGTTCTATTCCCCAGAAGTAACCTCTTAACAGTTTCTTTTGTAATCTTCAGAAAATTTTAATGCATAATAAGCAAATATGTAATCTTTATATTTTAAATAAATGGGATCATATTACATATACTACTATGAATCTTGCTCTTTTACTTATATGGTTTTGAAGAACTTTCCCTATCAGTACATAGCTACCTCATCTTATTAGTGCCTGTGTAGCCTTTTATTTGATAAACGTACCTCTAATTTATTATCCGTTCTCTGGTGGCATTCATTGGTTATAATTTTTTTTTTTTGCTTGTTTTTGTTTTTCTGTTACAAACATTGCTACAGTGAACATCTTTGTGAAGGTATATTAGCTGTGAAAATATACCTGTAGGATATGTTTGTATAACTTTCTGAGTCAAAGTTAGATTATAAAAGATGCTGCCAAATTGCCTTCTCTGAAGGCTCTATGAATTCATACCCCCATCAGTTGTGTATGAGAGTGTTAATTTCCGCACATCCTTGCCATCTTTGTATTATGTTTTTTCATCTTTTTCAACATGATAGTTTAAAAATTGTATTTTTTTAATGCATTATATTGATTCCAAATGAAATTGAGCATCTTTTAATATTAGTGGTCATTTTAATTTGAGAACTGCCTGTTTGTATTCTTCGCCAGTTTTTATTTTGTGTTTTCCATCTTTTTCTTACAGATTTATAAGAATTTCATGTATATTAAGAAAACTAGCCCCTTGTCTAGCATTTGCTGTAAATATTTTCTCCCTTTTTATCTTTTGATGAGTATGTTGATGGTAACTTTTTGCCACAATATTTATGTGGTCATATTTATCAGTGTTTTTCTTTATGGCTTCTGGGTCTTTGTTTATAAATACATTTCCCACTTCAAAAATTAATTTAAAAAAATTTATCCTATCCTAGTATACTCATGGTTTCATTTTATTACATTTAAATCTGGTATCACAGGAAGCGATCTAGCTCCCATCCCCATGTCTGTGAGTGACATCCTCAAAAGCTAGCCTGTTGGCCCAGCACCATTTATGGAATAATCCATTTTTCCACTGTTTTGGCATGCCACCTTTTTCATGTACTTTATTCTCATATGTAGTTGTTCTATGTCTAGGTTCTCTTTTCCTTTGTTGATCTTTTTCTCTTCTCTGTCTGCTACCAAACTACTTTTTATAACTAATTTTATAAAGTTTTAATATTCTTTTTTTCCCTCAGATTTATCTTGCTCTTCTTAGAAGTTTATTTAATGTGAAACTTTATATTATTTCATCCATGCCCCCCCCAAAAAGTTATGTTGAATTTTGAGATTAATTTATGTGTAATTGACAGCTTATAATACTCTTTTTATCCAAGAAGTATCTTCAGTATCATTTTTAGAACCACCCTCACCCCCATCTGACAAACTTTTCCTAGGTATTGATGGAGAAAAATGTACGCACACCACAGGTCTTGACTTTTGGATTGGGGTCCACAGCAGTGGAACATTTTCATAGGAATTTTCTATAGATACAACAATTCAAATAAGGAATGCTTATGAGAAACAAAATTTCAAGCATAATCACCCTTTGAAAACCAATTGAAAACTACTTTTTCCTTTCCCAAGTGGTTTTACTTTTTTGTTGTTTCTTATTGTTTTCAATTACAGTTGACATACAATAGTATATTAGATTCAGGTGTACAACATAATGATTAGACATTTATGTAACTTACGAAGTGAGTACCTCAATAAATGTAGTACCCATCTGACACCATACATAGTTATTCAGGGAATACAGACTGTATTCCCTCTATTGTACTTTACATCTCCATGACTATTTTTATAAATGCCAATTTGTACTTCTTAATCCCTTCACCTTATTTACTCATTCCCCTAACTCCCCTCCTATCTGGTAACCATCAGTTTGTTCTCTGTAACAATGAGTTTGTTTTTGTTTTGTTTGTTCACTTTGTTTTTTATATTCCACATATAAGTGAAATCATATGGTATTTGTCTTTCTCTGTCTGACTTATTTTACTTAGCATAACACCCTCTAGGTCCATCCATGTTGTCACCAATGGCAAGATTTCATCTTTTTTATGGTTGAGTAATATTCCATTGTATATATGTGCCACATATTCTTTGTCCATTCATCTGTCTGTGGATACTTAGGTTACTTTTGTATCTTGAATATTGCAAATAATGTTGCAGTGAACATGGGGGTGCATATATCTTTTTGAATTAGTGTTTTGAATTTCTTCAGATAAATACCCCCAAAATGAGATTGCTGGGTGATATGGTAGTTCTTAATTTTTAATTTTTTGAGGACCCTCCATACTATTTTCCGTAGTTGCTGCACCAGTTTACAATCCCAACATTGTAACAAGGGTCCTGTTTTCTCCACCTCCTAGCCAACACTTGTTTGTTGATTTATCGATCATAGCCATTCTGACAGATGTGAGGTGATATCTCATTGTAATTTAATTTGCATTTCCCTGCTGATTAGTGATCTTGAGCGTCTTTTCATAATGTCTATTAGCTATCTGTATATCTTCTTTGGAGAAATGCCTATTCAGGTCCTCCGCTCATTTGTTAATAGCATTGTTTATTATATTGGTATTGAGTGGTACGAATTCTTTATATATTTTGAATATTAACCCCTTATTAGATATATCATTGGCAGATATCTTCTCCCATTCAGTAGTTTGTCTTTTTGTTTTGTTTATGGTTTCCTTCACATTGCAAAAACTCATTAGCGTGATGTAGTTCCATTTTTTCTTTTCCCTTGCCCAAGGAAACATACCAAAAAACATATTGCTAAGAGCTATATCAAAGAAATTATTGCCTGTGTTTTATTCTAGGAGTTTTATGGTTTTGGGCCTTACATTTAAGTCTTTCTTGTTTTTGTTGTTATTATTTAATTTATGGTGACATTGTTTAACGAAATCCAGTAACTTTCAGCTGTACATTTTAACAGGCATATCTATATATTTACATTGTGTGTTTACCTCCCATAGTTAGATTTCTTTCTGTCACCACATATTTGACCCCTTTTACCCCATTTACTTTCCCCCTCCCCGCTACTCATCTGGTAACCACTAGTCTGTAGTCCATGTCCATTTGTCTTGTTCATTTGTTGCTTTTAGGTTTATATCCCACAAATAAGTGATATGTGATTTTCAACTTTTTCTGTCTGGCTTATTTTGTTTAGCATGATTATCTCGAGGTCTATCCATATTATCCCAAATGGCAGTATTTCATCTCTTCTTATGGCTATTATTCGCTTGTATATATGCACCACAGCTTCTTTATCCAGTCCTCTATCATAGGACACTTCGGTTGCTTCCATGTCCTCGCCACCGTGAAAAATGCTGCTATGAACATCGCTGTGCAGATATCTTTTCAGATACGGGTTTTCAAGCCTTTGGGGTAAATACCCAGTAGAGGGATTGCTGGATCATATGGTAGATCAATTCTTAGTTTTTTGAGGAACCTCCATACTGTTTTCCATAGTGGCTATACCATCTCGCAGTCCCACCAGCAGTGTATGAGGGGTCCTTTTTCTCCACATCCTCTCCAACATTTGTTATTACTTGTCCTGTTGGTTATAACTATTCTAACAGGTGTGAGATGATATCTCATTGTGGTTTTGATTTGCATTTCTCTAATAGTTAGCGATGCTGAGCATCTTTTCAAATATTTGTTGGCCATTTGTATGTCCTCTAGGGAGAATTGTCTGTTCAGGTCCTCTGCCCTCTTATATTTGTTGAGGCTATCTCTGTGTCCCAGTATGTGGTTGTTTCTTGAGAATGTTCCTTATGCACTGGAGAAGAATGTATAAGCAGCTGCTTTGGGATGGAACGCTCTGTAAATGTCAATTATGTCCAGTTAGTCTAATGTGTCATTTAAGGATGTTATTTCCTTATTGATTTTCTGTTTGGATGATCTGTCCATATCTGACAGTGGGGTATTTAGGTCCCCTACTACAATACCCCTACTATGATAGCGTTTTGATCTCTTTCTCCCGTTTTCTTAGTAATTGCTTTACATATTTTGGGGCTTCCATATTGGGAGTATTGATATTAATAAGTGATATGTCATCTTGGTTTATGATTCCCTTTATCATTATGTAGTGTCCCTTAGTATCTTTCTTTATCTTTTTTATTTTGAAGTCTATTTCATCTGATATCAGTGCCACTATTCCTGCTTTTCTCTGAATGCCATTTGCTTGAAATATCATTTTCCACCCTTTTGCTTTGATTCTATATTTGTCTTTGGAGCTGAGATGTGTCTCCTGGAGGCAGCAAATGGTTGGGTTTTGTTTTTTGATCTATTCTGCAACTCTGTGCCTTTTTATTGGTGAGTTCTGTCCATTTACATTTAGGGTAATTATTGAAATATGTGGTCTTATAGCCATTTTATCTTTTGCTTTCTGGTAGCTCAGTGTTTCCATTGCTTCCTTGTCGTGCTTTTGTTTTCCTTATTTTGGTTGGCTTTTGTGGGTTTTCCCTCTGGTCCTTCTTGTTTTATGTTATATACTTCAGTTTGGAATCTTGGCTCATGGTTACCATTACGAATATGTCAGGGATAGTTATATATGTATACAGTCGTCCCTTTTCTTCTGCGCATGCCTTATCTCCATTCCCCTTTGCGTATTTGGATCTTTGAATCCTCCCCTTTTCAGTCATTGTTGTCTCAATTTGTCCCTATGTATGCTGAACGTTCATTGCTATCTTGCTATAGCAATTCTCTTATTGTTTAAGCTTATAATGCCCTGTTCTTAGTAAGGGTTGCACTCCTCTGCTTCTATCTGCCTGCTAGTCGCCTTTCTCCTAGTTATGTATTTTTTTTTGTCATTTTGTTTTAGATGAGTTGACCCCTTTCAGTATTTCCTATAATGCAGGCCTTGTAGTGGAGAATTCCCTCAGTTTTTGTATCTTATTTTTCCTTCATATCTAAAGGAGAGCTTTGCTGGATACATTATTCTTGACTGGTTGTTCCTTTCATTTAATAGTTTGAATATTTGATTCCACTCCTTTCTGGCTTGTAAGGTTTGTGCTGAGAAGTTTGACGATAATCTAATGAGTTTTCCTTTATAGGTTACTTTCTTCTTTTCCCTGGCTGCCCTGAGAATTCTG